TACGTTAGAGGGGTGGGGGGTACGTTAGGGTACGTTAGAGGGGTGGGGGTACGTTAGGAGGGTACGTTAGAGGGGGGAATACGTTAGGGGGTACATCAGGGGGGTACGTTAGTGGTTGGGGGGCGATAGGGGGATATCAGAGGAAAAAGTAAAGATGTTATACAAAATCTCTAGAGCCCCAACACTTGGACGCATTCGCTCCACCTCCTCAAAGGGACTAGTTTAATCACCCCACCTCCCCAGAGGGATTACACACCCACTACCTTACATCCCACAAGGAGACTCATTCACCCACTTCTCCATATGTAAGTTCATATACCCCACCCTTACGGGGATTCACAACCATCCCCACACGTGATCACTAAACATACCCACACGGGGTATACACTACCCCAATACCCGGGGACATTCACCTACCCTCCCCCAACCCAGGCATTCACCCACCATCCCCCAACACCCAGGCATTCACCCACCCTCCCCAACCCAGGCACTCACCCACCCTTCCCCAACACCAGGGCATTCGCCCACCCACACGCAACACCGGACATTCACCAACACTCCCTCAACACCGGACATTCACCCACCCTCCCCCAACACTTGCATTCACACACCCTCCCTTTTTGAGTACTGCTGCCAGCTTTGGACCCCATTCACGGTGGATACAGAACGGCAATTTCACCCACCCTCCCACAGAGAGAACCCACCCTCCCCAACACCCGGGGCATTCACGCACTCTTCCCCAACACCGGGCATCCACCCACCCTCCCCCAACCCGGGCATTCACCCACCCTCCCTTCTTGAGTAGGTACTGCTGCCAGCGTTGGACCCCATTCACGGTTGATACAGTACGGCAATTTCACCCACCCTCCCCCAACACCCGGGCATTCACCCACCCTTATCCGAAGGCTTGAGGTGCACACTCTGGCTCTTGTCGCCTTCCCCCACGAGGGTGGAGGCGGTCACCCAGAACACGTAGGCATGCTGGCGGTCCAGATTCTTAGCCTCGAACGTGAGTTGTGTGGGGGACAGCCGGTGCACCGTGGCCTGGGGGAGCGAACCCTCGCTGTCATCATCATTATTAGTCACTAGTATTATATTATCACTAACATTATCACGCACAAGGCTATGCTGATGCAACGCCTTCGTCGGCTACCAAGCGCCGTGGGGGGAAGCCGGTGCACCGTGGCCTGGGGGAGCGAACCCATCACGCTGTCATCATCATCATTAGTCACTATTATTATATTATCGCTATCATTATAACCAAGGTTACATTCTCAAGGCCATGCTGATACATCGCCTTCGTCGGCTACCAAGCCCCACCCACCGGTGATACCGAGAAATTAGGCTCGGGAGGCTCGAACCAACGACTCACTCTTTCTGGTACCTACCTCCTGGTCCGTGGTACCATGGCGCTTGTGGTACACGGTGTACCCTCACCTCCTGGTCAGTGGTACCATGGCGCTTGTGGTACACGGTGTACCCTCACCTCCTGGTCCGTGGTACCATGTTGGTACCCTCACCTCCTGGTCCGTGGTACCATGGCGCTTGTGGTACACGGTGTACCCTCACCTCCTGGTCCGTGGTACCCTCACCTCCTGGTCCGAGGTACCCTCACCTCCTTGTCCGTGGTACCATGGCGCTTGTGGTACACGGTGTACCTCCAACCAGGCATCCACCCACCATCTCTTCTTGAGTACTGCTGCCAGCTTTGGACCCCGCACAGTGCGGCCTTCCTCTTGGTCCGTGGTACACGGTTTACCCTCACCTCCTGGTCCGTGGTACCCTCACCTCCTGGTCCGTGGTACCATGGCGCTTGTGGTACACGGTGTACTGGGTGATGACGCCGTTAGGACGCGCGGGTTCCTGCCAGGACACAAGGATGCTCTCGGCGGACGTGACCAGCGCCTTCACTGAAGTGGGCGCCTCGGGGACTAAGGAGGGGAGGGGGGTTAATTAGTGATTAATAATAGATTAATATAGTTACATATTATTTCACTAATTAGCTTATTATTAGGTTAGGTATAAGTAAATAAATTAATGTGTAGTAAACACATTAAAGTAACTAGGTAAAGTAAGTAATTAAAGTAAACTAATAAATTAGTTTAAATAAAGATTAATTATCATTTAATTAATTAATTAATTAGTTTTACAGTAATTACTCACTGTCCTGGTCAGTGTGGCAGTGGGTGGGGGGGCTCTTGACCCCGTCGCCCCCGTTAGTGTAGGCCAGAACCTGCACATTGTTATATTAATATAATTATTAATAATATAATATTCAATATATATAATTATAATATGGTCAATAATGCAATCATTTTCATTTTCTTATATTATTGTGATATAATAAAATTATTTTTATATTTAAAATATATTTAGTAATTAGAATATCATTTTATCATTATCATCACTGTAATATATTTAATTATTATAATGTCATTTTCATTATTATAATATATTTGATGATTAAGATATCATTATCATCATTATAAAATACTTATTTGTTGATTAGAATATCATTATCATAATTTATAATATATTTAATGATTGGGATATAATTTTTATCATTACAATATATTTAATAATTAGAATATCATTTTTATAATTATAATATATCATTGATTAATACCTTTGAGTTAAATAGTTCTTAAAGCTGTGTATTAGGAGTGTATGTGTTGACTAAGGGCCTGTCTATATTTTAAAATAAAACCTGTTAACCATAATAATTAATTCCCATATAAAGTTTAGTCGTAAATAAATTGGTACCACCACGCTTTGTCTGGTACAACCACGTCCTGTCCGGTACCACCACCCACAGCCCCCCACCATCTGGCACCTACCTAACCAACCATCCAAAACCCGACCACCCCATCACACTTTGGAAGAAGAATTTTCCGCCACGTCCTGTCTGGTGCCACCACACCCTTCTACCATCTCGAACCTACCAAACATCCAAAATTCGACCACTCCCATCACTACTTGACAGAAGAATGTTCCACCACGTACTGTTTGGTACCACCACAGCTCTGTACCATCTGGCACCTACCAATCATCCAAAACTCGACCACCGCCATCACATCTTGGAAGAATAATGTTCCACCACGTCCTGTCTGGTACCACCACCCACAGCCCTCCACCATCTCGCACCTACCTAACCAACCATCCAAAACCCGATCATCCTCATCACACCTCGGAAAAAGAATTTTCCACCACGTATTGTCTGGTACCACCACAGTCCTGTACCATCTGGCACCTACCAACAATAAAAAACTCGACCACCCCGACACACCTTGGCAGAAGAATGTTCCACCACGTCCTGTCTGGTACCACCACAGCCCTTCACCATCATGCACCTACCAACCATCCAAAACGCGACTACCACGACACACATCGGTAGAAGCACTCTATCATTTGAACTTTATTTGCTCAAAGTTCACCGCAACGAACCCCAACACTCAGGCCCAAAGACTCATGAGGATTCAGGACTGGCACTCTCATTTCGGCCAGCTCTGAGTCCTTCTCGCAGAGAACCGCTCCTAAGAGGATAAGAAGGATACGAAGGGGTGTTTGGTCATAAGTACCGCTTAGTCCTCCGAGAACAACCAAGTTTCTGCCACACTTTACCCTTCCCTTCGCACCACCTGCCAGGTCCCATTCGCCCACCTGCAGCACCCATAACCCACCTGCAGCCCACCACCCACCTGCACCCCACTGACTCACCTGCACCCAACTGACCCACCTATACAACCCACCACCCATCTGCAGGGCTCACTGACCCACCTACAGCCCACTGACCCACCTGCAGCGTGTAGTTGGTGTACTTGTCGAGGCCGTGCAGGTGCGTGTCGGTGCCCTGCGTGTTCTTGGCCACGATGGTCGTCTCGTCTGGCAGGTTAAACAAAAGATTAGGTGAGTCAGGTCCGTAAAGTGGGTCAGGTCAGTAAAGTAGGTCAAGTCAGTAAAGTGGGTCAGGTTAGTAAAGTGGGTCAGGTTAGTAAAGTGGGTCAGGTCAGTAAAGTGGGTCAGGTCAGTAAAGTGGGTCAGGTCAGTAAAGTGGGTCAGGTCAGTAAAGTGGGTCAGGTCAGTAAAGTGGGTCAGGTCAATAAAGTGGGTCAAACTACTCTAAAAATGGTCAAAAGTGAGTCAGGTGTGTCAGGCAAAAAAATGATACAAGTAAAATGATACTAATTTTACTCGATTGACACACTTCACTCGTTTGACACACTTCACTCGCTTGACACACTTCACTAGCTTGACACACTTCACTAGCTTGACACACTTCACTAGCTTGACACACTTCACTAGCTTGACACACTTCACTAGCTCCCATGGTACACTCCCTAATTGGGGGTCTAGTAGCCTCATGGTACACTCCCTAACTGGGGGCTAGTAGCCCCATGGTACACTCCCTAATTGGGGGCTAATAGCCCCATGGGACACTCCCTAATTGGGGGCTAGTAGCCCCATGGTACACTCCCTAATTAAGGGCTAGTAGCCCCATGGTACACGTACTCCTAAATAAAATTTTGATGCCAGCTCAACTCTGCATCAGGCGCCGCCCAGGACTCGGGGAGCGCGTAAATCAGCCGCTAATGTGCGTTCCGACCGGGCTTGAAGTGCAGCCTCTGGGCAACTTGCAGGCTCGGCATTGCACACTTGTCATTCTATATTACACTTGTCATCTTTTGACACAATTTTTAAAACTCTCAGGACACACTTGTCCTACTTTGACACACTTGTCATACTCTCAGGACACACTTGTCATACTCTCAGGACACTATAAAGTCGGAAAGTAGACGCTGACCAGAAGCTGATTTCGATCGGGTGGCCAAGCAGACCCAGAATAACTCTTAGCCGAGTGTGTAGCGACTCTTGGGCAGAAGCCTGGGCGGTACCCGAATTTTATTAGGGCCGAGAGACTAGGTAACCTTACCTTGTTCTGAGGGGTAAGTTACATAATTATACCCTCATATCCCTTTCCCCTCACCTGGGGAGGCTGCTGGGGTCTACCCTCCTTGGTGTAGGCCCGCACCATGGCAGACTTGGGCCCAGACCCCATCTTGTTGAAGGCAGACACCACCACACCGTACTCCGTGTACACGCTGCGGGGTACGTCAGGGTACGTTAGGGAGGAGGTTAGGGGTACTTAAGGTATTTTGGAATAGGTTAGGGGTACGTTAGGGCATGTTGGGGGAGACTGGGGGTACGTTAGGGTATGTTGGGGTATATTGAAGTACGTGGGGTAGGTTTGAGCGACACGTTCGGGTAAGCAGGGAACGTATGGGTACGTGAGGTAGGGGTATGTCAAGATAAGTTAGGGTACGTTAGGGTAGATCATGGTACATTGATACTCACTATCCTTAATATCCTAGAAGGTATCCCGGACGTAAAAGCCCCAGACAATGCTGATTAATATCCTAGCTTATTATCGTAGTATCCTAGCCTAATATCCTACTATCCTAGCTTATTATTGTATTATCCTAGCCTAATATCCTAGTATCCTAGCCTTATATCCCAGTATCCTGGCCTCATATCCTACCCTAATATCCAATAACATCCTATAATATCCTAAAATAACCCATAATATCCTATAATATCCCATAATATCCTATAATATCCTATAATATCCCATAATATCCTATAATATCCCATAATATCCTATAATAACCCATAATATCCCATAATATCCTATAATATCCTATAATATCCTATAATATCATACAATATCCTATAATATCCCATAATATCCCATAATATCCTATAATATCCTATAATATAATATCTGTCTCTTATACACATCTAGATGTGTATAAGAGACAGGCTCTGAGTCCTTCTCGCAGAGAACCGCTCCTAAGAGGATAAGAAGGATACGAAGGGGTGTTTGGTCATAAGTACCGCTTAGTCCTCCGAGAACAACCAAGTTTCTGCCACACTTTACCCTTCCCTTCGCACCACCTGCCAGGTCCCATTCGCCCACCTGCAGCACCCATAACCCACCTGCAGCCCACCACCCACCTGCACCCCACTGACTCACCTGCACCCAACTGACCCACCTATACAACCCACCACCCATCTGCAGGGCTCACTGACCCACCTACAGCCCACTGACCCACCTGCAGCGTGTAGTTGGTGTACTTGTCGAGGCCGTGCAGGTGCGTGTCGGTGCCCTGCGTGTTCTTGGCCACGATGGTCGTCTCGTCTGGCAGGTTAAACAAAAGATTAGGTGAGTCAGGTCCGTAAAGTGGGTCAGGTCAGTAAAGTAGGTCAAGTCAGTAAAGTGGGTCAGGTTAGTAAAGTGGGTCAGGTTAGTAAAGTGGGTCAGGTCAGTAAAGTGGGTCAGGTCAGTAAAGTGGGTCAGGTCAGTAAAGTGGGTCAGGTCAGTAAAGTGGGTCAGGTCAGTAAAGTGGGTCAGGTCAGTAAAGTGGGTCAGGTCAGTAAAGTGGGTCAGGTCAGTAAAGTGGGTCAGGTCAGTAAAGTGGGTCAGGTCAGTAAAGTGGGTCAGGTCAGTAAAGTGGGTCAGGTCAGTAAAGTGGGTCAGGTCAGTAAAGTGGGTCAGGTCAGTAAAGTGGGTCAGGTCAGTAAAGTGGGTCAGGTCAGTAAAGTGGGTCAGGTCAGTAAAGTGGGTCAGGTCAGTAAAGTGGGTCAGGTCAGTAAAGTGGGTCAGGTCNACCCCTGGTACCACGTACCTGGTACCCCTGTATAGCCCCTGGTACCACGTACCTGGTACCCCTGTATAGCCCCTGGTACCACGTACCTGGTACCCCTGTATAGCCCCTGGTACCACGTACTTGGTACCCCTGTATAGCCCTGGTACCACGTACCTGGTACCCCTGTATAGCCCTGGTACCACGTACCTGGTACCCCTGTATACCCCCTGGTACCCCGTACCTGGTACCCCTGTATGGCCCCTGGTACCATGTACCTGGTACCCCTGTATAGCCCCTGGTACCACGTACCTGGTACCCCTGTACAGCCCCTGGTACCACGTACCTGGTACCCCTGTATAGCCTCTGGTACCACGTACCTGGTACCCCTGGGCCCCTGGTACCACGTACCTGGTACCCCTGTATAGCCTCTGGTACCACGTACCTGGTACCCCTGGTACCCTGGTACCACGTACCTGGTACCCCTGTATGGCGCCGTTCCACTCCTCGTTGCGTGGAGGCTTCCACGTAATCTTGAGGCTGTGTTGGTCCACGTACTCCGCCCGCACGTCGCGGGGGGGACCGCTGGGCGCTGGGGAAAATATATATTTTTATAAAATTACATCATATTAATAAAATATCTTATCTTTAGAATACTTTCATGTTAATAAAATAACTTATCTTTAAAATTCTTTCATATTTAATATATTTAAACTGACTGTTGGGCACTGGAAATATATATTTTTAAATTCTTTCATATTTAATAAAATATCTTATCTTTAACATTACTTATTTTTATGGAAAAAAATACATTTTTTGTTAAAGATTTTTTCATAATAATAAAATATCTTATCTTTAGAATTACCTATTATCTTGGAGAAAAATATCTTTTTTTAATTCCATCATATTAATAAAATATCTTATGTTTAAAATTATCTATTTTCAATGAAAAATACATTTTTTAAAGATTCTTTCATATTTATTAAATATGTTGTCTCTAAAATTAGTTATTTTTATTAAATTTATAGAAAATCTCTTTTTAAAATTCTTTCAGATTTATAAAATATTATGTCTCATAAGTTTTACATTTATATTAAATTTATACTAACCGCTGGGCGCTGGAAAAAATACATAATAAAATAATTCTTCCGTATCAATAAAATATCTTGTCTTTAAAATTACTTATTTATATTAAATTTAGAACCTCAAGGCCAAATAATGCACTTTTGTTAACAATTATTTATCTAGCGGGAAACTCGTGGCGATGAAAATGGCGGGAAAGCTCAACTGGGGGCCAATAGATATTTATTATATTAGATTTAAAATAGCTATTTTTCATGTCATCCATCAACACATAAACACCATTAATGCCTCTAGATAATTCTATTATCATTGCGTACAGATAACAATCATCAGCGTATCATTAATTATTCCCAATGAATTGAAGTAATTAGGTTTATTTTGGTTGAGGTTTTGTGCGGAGGTCATGCGAATGTTTTACTAATAACGGAGTTTGTGTTCGAAACCTCGTTTTTCTATGGATAAGGTCATAGAAAACGAATACAATTATAGCGATGACCACTTTATTTTACGTGTCGATATCTCAACGTCTGTAACATAACTGACAAAACGCGATTTAATTTTCGTGCCTACATCACACTCACCCTCCTCAGCCGTGATGATGGTGACGGTGTATGATGGTTCACTATGCTGCCTTAGTTAGTGTTCAAAAGCCCGTTTTCTATGGAGAATACCATAGAAAACGAGCACAATTATAGGCATAATTCCTTTATTTCATGTGTCGATTTCTCGATGTTTCAACTGACAAAACGCGATTTAATTTTCTTCCTACATCACACTCATCCTCCTCGGCCGTGATGATGGTGCCCTACATCACACTCACCCTCCTCGGCCGTGATGATGGTGCCCTACATCACACTCACCCTCCTCGGCCGTGATGATGGTGACCTACATCACACTCACCCTCCTCGGCCGTGATGCTGGTGCCCTACATCACACTCACCCTCCTCGGCCGTGATGATGGTGACGGTGTGTGATGGTTCACTATGCTGCCGGGCTGCCCTACATCACACTCACCCTCCTCAGCGGTGATGATGGTGCCCTACATCACACTCACCCTCCTCAGCCGTGATGATGGTGACGGTGTGTGATGGTTCACTATGCTGCCCTACATCACACCCACCCTCCTCGGTCGTGATGATGGTGACGGTGTGTGATGGCTCACTATGATGCCTTAGTTAGTGTTCAAAAGCCAGTTTTCTATGGATAGCTCCAAAGAAAACGAATGCATTTGTAGCTATGACTGCTTTATTTCATGTGTCGATTTTTTGACGTTTGTAACTTGACTGACAAAAGGCGATTTTATTTTATTCCTACATCACACTCTCCTTCCTCGGCCGTGATGATGGTGACCTGCATCACACTCACCCTCCTCGGCCGTGATGATGGTGACGGTGTGTGATGGTTCACTGTGCCCTATCTCGTTCTTAGCGATGATCCTGAAGTGGTAGGTGGTGGCGGCGCGCAGGTCCAACACCGCAGCGATGTTGGCGTCCGACACCATCAGGCGCTCGCTCTGGTCCTCCCAGTTCTCTGGGTGTAGAGGGGGGGAGGG